CTTCCTTGGTGACTGAACTGGGGTCATGTCCTGTGGGGCTCGGGGGCCGTGTCATGGGGGCCAAGCGCAGCCGGCTGCAGCTGCCTGGAGCACGCAGGTGTCCGCTCTGCCCTGGGCCCAGGTCTCGGACGGGCATCTCTGGGTCAGTGCGGGCTCAGTGCTGGCTCTGGGGCAGCGCTGTGTCCTCCTGCTGTCACGGCGGGCCCCGGCCCCAATGGCTGGGGACAGCGGGGCCCTGGGCGCTGCCAGAGCATGCAAGTGATGTGACGGGGGTCTCGCTGTCATCCGGTTGGGGGCACCAGGGCTGAGGGTGCCGGGGGAGGCCACGTGTATGTGCATGGCAGCACAGTGCCCACATGTTCATGTGTACACCCGTGTGGCTGGATAGGAGTGAGCATGGCCAGGTGGACTCCATGTGTGTCCATGGCGGGTTGCCGTGAGTGTGAGCACACTCACGGGGATGCCACGTGGGCAGAGCAGAGTGGCCGCAGACTGGGGCTGTGCCCAGCTGTGCTATTGCTCCTGCTGGGACTCAGCGCCGCAGGGTCCTGGCTGGAGGCTCTTGGCCCCGCTCACGCTGCCCTGGGGGGGCAGGCAGGAGTTTGCCCCCTGCTTAGCCTGCCCGGCCAGGGAAGGGGTTGCCCCTCACTCTGCAGTGGGGGCATGGCTTGGGCCTGGGCTCTCCCGGGGGCTCTCAGTGTCTCTGGGCCTCGTCGCTGCACGTGGGGCTGGGGGTGTCAGGACAGGCTCAGACCAGGCGTGTCTGGGGGGTCGGGCTGGGCTGTGGGGAGCTCTTGGGGGGCAGGACTTACTGCCCCCCAGGGCACAACTCAGACCTGGCTCCCCCAGGGGTCAGGGATTGCAGCCTGGGTGTCATGCCGGGCTGCGGCCAGGGCAGGGCTGGGGGCTGCCCTGGGGGTGGTCTGTGCCCCTGCCCCGCCAGCAGCGCTGACCCCGCTGCTCCTCCTGGGCGTCTCCCTGGGACCTGCCTGCCCGTTCCCAGGCTGCGCTGGGCTGGACCGTGCCGGGCGGTCGGTACCGCTCAGCTCAGCCCAGAGTCGCCCTCCGCAGCCGGAGCCGTGCATGCCCCCCGCCCCCCAGCTCCGCCGGTGCCCATGCCCTGGGGCCCGCGCCCGAGCCCCACGCCTCGCAGGCTGGGCCGATAACCGGCTGTTGATGTCTCTCTCTCTCTCTTGCTGCCCCTACGGAAGCGAAGTTTTCCGCTCCTGCAGGAAGCAAAGCTACGGTAGGACTTGCCCCCGCCCGCGCCGCCCGGCCCTGCTCCCCGACTCCCTGCCAGCTCCTGCCTCTGCTCCCTGCTGCGCCCGCCCCCGCCCACGGATGACGCCGCGTTCAGCACCCCCACGGGTGAGTGGGCGCGGGGGGCAGGGGTGGGCAGCATTGGGCTGGCTGGGGGAGTCGGCGCCTTCCCCGCCTGGTGCCTGCTCTACCGTCTCCGTCCCGGCGCAGGGGAGTCGGACACGCTGGTGGACGCCTCGGTGAGCACGACACCCACGTCCCC